TGTGTGTGTGTGTGTGTGTGTGTGTGTGTGTGTGTGTGTGTGTGTGTGTGTGTGTTTAGTCTAATCTTATGTAATGTTCCTAAGATGAGGATATCGATTCTGTATCAGGTGATGTAAGCAGGGTTTGGGTAAGAGGAGGCGGGGCCACATACTGATGCAGGGGGCGATGGGGGAGCGGCTCTGCTGGTAGCCCTTAGCGCACCGGTTGCACGTGGTGCCCGTCACGCCGTCTTTGCAGGGGCACTGACCCGTCGTCTGGTTGCAGGTTTTGCCGGCGGCTCCCACAGGATGGCATTCGCACGCTGCGGGGACAGAGATAGGGGCTAAGAGTCCATCAGCCGCTTGGAATGCTGGGATATGAAGGTCACCCCATCCCTCCCTGAAGCACCACCCCCCCAGCTGGTCTCTGTTTTTCTTTGTTTGTCACATACAATTATATAAGTATAACCTGAGTACTTAGATCATGTGGAATGTCAGGATTAGTTAATAACGTGGCCTTTTGAGCTGTGAGGCACTGCCAGATTACAAACCCAAGGCAGGGGACACATGGACGGTGCACACACTAAGGAAAATTTAGAGATGCCAGTTCTCATAGCTGCATGTTTTTTTTGTGGGAGGACACAAACACGCAGAGCAAAGTCATATGACCACAGGAAGGCATGGAGACTCTGCACACACAGCACAGGGTGGCCGCTTGACACATCGCCCGGTGTGACGTGGCCGCTTGACACATCGCCCGGTGTGATGTGGGGTATGGGCCACTGTCTGGGAGTGTCGGTGCCTTTCAATGGGGTCACAATAGGCCTCCACTTCAGCCGACACTGATGGCATATGGGGGCCTGGAGAGCCATTAAGAGCACACGTGCAGCACCAGTCCATCGCCTGAGTGCAATGAAGTTCTACTTCCTGTTTTTGGTTGTTTTGTACCCTGGAGAGTGAAAGCTGCATCCTCCCTTGACTCTCCTGTCAACACTGTGGTATCAGTGTCACCTATTTCCTTGTTTTTTTCCCTGTCAGGTTCCTGTTGGGCCTATGGTAGTGGCGATCCACAGGGCAGCCACAGTCCACTGAATTGAGGTGAAGTTGTCCATTCGGGCGCTTTGAGGCGCACATCACACTGAGAGTCGGCTATCTGTGGTCTCTGTGGGCTCTGGCTACTGATATCATCCCGGGGGCCCAGGAATCTGGAGAGCGAGTAAGTGGCCGTCCACTTAGCGTTTAAGTGGCTACGCTATCCCTCAGAGCTACTTCAGATGGCGGACGCAGATAGGAGGCTGTCTCTCTGCCTGCTCACAAACGCTCACTGCTTCTGCAAGAGAGGCTCCTGCACGCCTGTGCTGATTACTATTACATAATAAGCCTGAGTGTTTGCCACATGTGTTTTCAACATATTTGTTTTGCGCAGGCACTGAGATGGCCAGCCTGCAACCCCCAACCCAAGGTCCGTATCTTCAGATAGACTCTGATCTTCTAAAGAACTAGTAACTCAGCCCTTGGAAATGAGTTCTGCTGGCAGACTTCTTGGCAAAAGGAGGTTGGGATGAAGAGTGTAGGAGGCACATTTTAAAGTCCACTGTTTGTAGGAAGAATTTTTCACAGTCAAACATTTACCATAAAGGGGACTTGAACTTTTCTTCTCCATTAGATTGTTGTTATTTTTTCTATCAGAAGAAAAATCATGGTTTTTGGGAAAAAAAACATCCAAGGTTAAAAGTATCTAAGCTGTCCAATGTTTTGTTTTATAATTAGGTCCCTGTTGACCATCAGTAATGTCTGACGTTAATTTGAATAAAAGAGACCCTTCATTTGGGAATAATATGCAGATTATGTTACAGCCTCTGCTCTGCTTTTCATGAAAGTCTCTTGTATAAGTCATATTATTTTTGTTCCTTTTTTTTTTGACCTTTTTTTACTTTCATTGGTTTAAAAATAGCACTTCTTATGTAATTTACAGAGCTGAAGTTTTCTCACACACCCTAATTGCGGTCTCATGCTAAACAACGTTAAAGACCTGTCATGGTAAATTGGAAACAGCTATAGAGAAGCATACTTTTTCATAATGATGAAAAAAAACGAAGCAGTGAGGTCACAAAACAAAGAAGGATGTTTTACAATCCTGACCTCAATAGACCGTTTGTGGTTCACAAGGTCCTACCCAGACAACGCTCGCTGGGTCAGTAATGCATGAATTAAAAACTCACCCATGACAAAGGCATTTTGTTGTATTGTGTAAGGACAGCAGAGGGCGTTGTGGTTAAGGAGCTAGATCTAAGATCAGAGTAAAATCCCGAAAGGGAAACTACTGCTGAGTAATCAGTGTTACTAGAACAATTAAGTTGCTAGACCTTAAATATAGGAGTATAGTATGTTCAACTGTAAAGCTTCACACACACACAGCCTGGGCAGGATTCAAACCCACCACCTTAGCGGTGTGAGCTGAACAAGCCGCCCTAAATGAGATGCATGTGACTTCAGAATTGAAAAAGGAGGAAAACGTAATATGATATAGTGTCATTTATCAAGAGTAGTTACTTTGGTGTCAGAAAATGTCAGAGTTCCCATGATCCCGCACAGCCCCTCTCCTCCAGTCCTCACGGGGGGGACCCTGCTGGGTCTCCCATACTCACGCACAGCAGGGGAGCTAAAGGAGTCACCACGGCCTGATCGCGATGGCTGACCAGGGACTGTCTTAGCGCTGTGCGGTCTGTCAGCCCCCAGCAGCTTGCCAGGACAGACTAGCGAAGGACAAATCCATTAGCATACGGTGAACCCAGCGGCAAGTGTTACACGGCACCCCAGCGATCTTCAGAGCTCCTGTGAAAATGCTCACATCACGCACATAACTCTCCATTTCCACGTCCTCTCCCAGCCTAAAGACACACACGGATGTGTTTTCTTTGTCTAGCAAATATCAGATTCTTTAACTGGTGTGACGGAATTGTGCATCTCTCTTCTTAATAGAGTGCAAATACGATGCCCATTTCTAATTTCTTTGAATAATGTTGCTTTCACTTCAGGTAAAAAACCTGGTGCAAATCTTTCACCAGGAATGTTAAGAGGCTGCTCATGCATGAGCACGGGATGGTGGAAAAGTGCACGGCAAATTCATTAGGCCACCAGTTACCGATAAACGCAAGGTCTCCTCTATCTGATATTCACTACTGCTGTGGGTCAAATTTCAACTGTGATCAGGGGTAACTATGATTTTTTTTTAATGTTTGGGAGACATCAGAGGGGCCATATTTCATACAGAGGGTCCAACCATTTCAATAACCAATTAAATGTTTTGAATCGGTGAGTGATCGCATACAGGGCTCTCAGGGGCCAATCAGCTTTCAGCAGTGACCCCGCCCCTGTAAATGCCCCAGGCTATGAGGACAGGACTGTGTTCCATATCAGCTGTCGGCATTTGGGAAACGTCCATGGATTCTGCACTGTGATTTTCCTTCAATGTAATCGAATACCGAGGTGTTGCATGAATAATTTTCACTCATTACTACATTAGCCCTTGGAGTCTGGCAAATGACTGGCTTGCGATTTCCAAAACTGTGTCACTTGGCTGCCAGCTTCATAAATTATAAAGGAATTTGTTTACCCTTTAATAAAGTGTGAAGAAACATGGAGTTCAGTGGGGGTTCAAATAGAATTAGCAGAGCGAGACGCTCCCTGTTCCGACACCCAGTGTCATGTCCTTGGCCATACCTCTCCAACACCCAACACAAGGCAGAGAGATATGTGGGTGGGGGGCGTCTTGGGGTGGGGTGGGGACACGTGACTACATGGGGCCCAAGGAAAGAGACCAACTAGCTCCTTGTCTTTCCCCTCCATGGCAGTCAGCCTTCTCAATGCTCCCTCCCCCATCTTCCTTTGTATTGGGTCGTACAGCAATGATGAAATGATTAATGTCAATAATTACAGCGTCAGACAGGCGATTAAATAAATGTCTTCATTGTCTCGCCGAGTCTGACTGGATTTCATCAGGCTTCAACCTAAAATTGGGGTTTGTTCCAATAACCTACTACGCACCTTCAGGAGATGCTGAATGAGACTGCCAAACAGCTGGCACTGGGAGCAGCAAGCGGATCCAGGCGGTTACGACCCGCTGCCTCGTCCCCGACTGCGCGGGTACGAGGCCCCGAGCCCCGACTGATACGTCTCACTTCCCATTCCTGGCTCCGGCGTGTCATTCTAACGCACTTTGGGTAGGAGGAGGATTTCAGGGTTTCAGTACACGGAGTACAGAACATCACATCCAATATTCTGCCTGAGGAGAAGTGGGGTGTATCGAGCACTTAACGAGGGCCTGAGAGAGATTCAAACGAGCTCTCCCTCGTTTTATTTACATGGAACGAGCGGGGATTTGATCCCAGGGTTTGAAAAGTACTCGGGAATTAATTCACCGTGACGGCCTGAGTTTGTATTAATTCCATTCGCAAATCCTGCCTGTTTGCTTTCCGCGGAAATCCTCTGTGGTCCCTGTTACCATTTACTAAGAAACAATGCTTTTCATTAGATTTTCAAATAAAGCATATTTTCCATTTTATACATTTTTTGCCGGTCAGTGTCAGCGGGGACTGGCTCGGTCATTCGTATTTACGTCCTCTTTTGAATTGCAAAGGTCTTGGAATATGGAAACAGGGCAGCCTCAATCATCTCATAATGACATTTATATCGATTTTCATTATTCTCCTCGACTTCTGTGTGTCAGTCAAACATCTTAAGAGGAACAGATGTAATCAATGTTCCTTGGACACACAGGGGCATGTTAATACAAAGTCAGGGCAAGATTTGCTATTTTGACATTAGGGTCTCTCCTCTCTCTCAAAAGAAAAACTAGCGTTCCTTGTGCTTCTATGAGCACTGTGTGTCTGTCGAGCCCTGTCTTCCCAGCGACAGCGTGTTTAAAATTCACCTTGTTCCACCGGCTCTATCACGTTCACCAAAGGGATAAAATGACATCACTTCACCCCTGGCTATGCGTCTCCCGCTCGAGTCGACACGGGATTGAGGAATGTGCACGGGGTGAATTAAGCCTGCCACATGCAAGATGAAATGTGACAGCTGGGGGTGGGGGGTGTTTGTTAGGGGGTACCGTGGTGCTGGGCACATCCGGCGGGACTGTAACCCTGTATTTGCTCTAAGGTCCTCTGGAGGTTTTTGTTCGAATAATGAGGGCAAATATTATTTACATCTATATGGCTCACCAAAAATCAAATGTTTTGGACTGTATTAGTTAGATATTTGAGTGTGCATATATAGCATAGCATAGCATAGCATAGCATAGTGCAATGAAGTGCTTCTAGTACACACCGGCTTGCATCACATTGATAGATTCATAGCATCAAACATGTCTCCTGCTAATTCCAATAGTAACCATAAAAATTTCATGTTTTTTTAGCTTTTCTCAGTCGCTTTCATGCAATTTCCTCATGAGAAACACCATTCTCACCACTCTTAATGCAGTTCTCAAAACAGTAACACAATCTCCCACACAAATTAGCATTTCTCATCTGACTTTGAGGATTCATCAAAACAGTTCGTACAGGTATGTAATAAACAGTAAGGCCAATCACACAGTCAGTGGTAACAATAAAATTGGTCTTCAATTGAAAATAAATGGAATTACATGTTCTCAGATAATAATCACTTGAAACAAAGAGAAACACATGTTCACAATCTTATATCACAGGTGCATGTCATGCCACTAAATTGCATCACACAAGCATATATAGATGCTCAGGTTCCACGCAGTGGATAGGGCTGAAAATGGAGCAGGAAGCTGTGAGAGGGCGTGGTGTTCGAAATGCATATTGTCCTTGACAAGATTTCATGATCAACATGATCACTCTTGCTCTCTCTTTTGCGCTTTCTTATTTACAGTATATATGAACATTATATATGTTTGTGTTTCTATTTAGAAGATACTTGAGGAGATCCAGGACATTGTGGTGTATGTAGATGAAGCAGGATTTAACCTAAACAAAGTAAGGCGACATGGCAGGAACATAATAGGTCAGAGGGCCACAGTAGATGTCCCAGGTCAGCGTGGGGGCAACATCACAATGTGTGCTGCTATTGCTGAACATGGAGTCATTCACAATGCAGCCACCACGGGGCCCTGCAACACCGACCGGCTTCTTCAGTTTTTGGATGGGCTCTACAATGCTCTTATTCCAGAAAATGCAAGGGGGACTGTGAGGGCCAACATGCCATGCTATGTTGTGATTTGGGACAATGTATGGTTTCACCATTCAAACCATGTGAGGGAATGGTTTGAAACCCATCAACAAATGATGATGGTGTTCCTGCCGCCTTTGTCACCATTCCTCAACCTCTGCTTGGAGGTGGAAGGTGTATGATTGCAGGCCCCATTATCAAATGTCATTACTGGAGGCAATGGATGCTGGCTGTGGGGACATCACACCTGAGGCTTGTCAGACCTGGGTGCGGCATGCCAAAAGGTTTCTCCCGCTTTGTCTCAGAAGAGAAAATATCAGGTGTGATGTAAACACAGCGATGTGGCCTAACAGGGAAGAGAGACTGGATGCCCCTGAGGGATTTCACGGCACATCTCTGTTCCCCCTGCTCTAAACCAGGGGGTATGTAAGACAGTAACTTCACTCAGGTTTATCCATCTATTCATATCTGTATACATGTACTGCGTACTGTAACATAATGTACTACAGTAAATGTACAATATTCACTTACATATTTTCTGTTACTTGGTTCTATGCTTTCTCAGTTACAGTAATTATCTGTAAATTTACAAAATGTTACATTACCTTTTTTCTGTTTTTTTTTCCTCTACATTAGATTTGAGTAAGGATTTAATTAAAAGATTAAAACATTTGCTGGCTAAGTCTTGATGCACTGGTGAAAGTGTTTTATTCATTTGTCGCAGTGATGGAGTGATTGACTGATGTTGTATGATCTGACACACGTGCACAAGGTTTTGTTTGTTTTAGTAGCTTCTGCATAGGTGATTTAGTGTTTGGAGAACTACATTAAGAGTGGTGAGAATGGTGTTTCTGATGTGGAAATTGCATGAAAGCAACTGAGAAAAACTGTAACGCAACAGCTGTAGAGGATGCCAGTTTTAATGAGCCTCATCTTGAAAAGGTGTTTTTGTTTCTAAATAGTTCTGAATGTTATGTTTTGTTATACCTTTTGACATATTTAATATTTTGATATAGCATGGAAATGGAAATGTTAAGGGTGTCTCGCATCCATAGAAGATTCCCGACCAGGATCTGGGTAATGGGGTGGGACACTGGAAAGACCTGGTTGTTTGGGATGGGACCGATTCCCCGCCGCCCCCCCCCCCCTCCAAATGGAAAGCGGGTCACTGCTTGTTTATTTTGAACTTCTTTGTTTCTCCTGTCCATCAAAGTGGTCGTTTCTGGATCAGGGAGGGTGGCAGAATGGGGGCCGCTGAGGGGGCGCGTTAAGGTGTGATGGCTGTTTGTTTACACAGCGCCTGAGCTCCTGTTATCTCCCCCGCGGTGCTGTGGGGGTCAGAGGAACAAGGCTTTTTCCCCTAATCTCAGGGGCCGCTCATGAAGCCCTGCGTGCCGCTGCACACCTGTGCGTGAGCCCCAGCCCCCCCTCCCCCCCCCAACCTGACCTCCATTGAGGATCACTTCTCACCTATGCGCTGTTTGTTTTGCTTGTCCTGTCAGACTATCCCCAAATAAATTCCAAATATTTGGGTGTCAGAGGGCCCCATCCAGGTCAGATAGCTGACAGGACCACATTTGGGGGGGGGGTCAGGAATGCTGCCTTCCTGTTCTCTTCAAAGATTTCCCACTTTTCGTGCTGCTGACTGTGAAACTCGTGGCACACGCTGAGGTAATAGTTGCAGGTATGACTGAGTTACTTCATTCACAAAATAAAATAAAATAAAATAAAATATAGATAGACAGACAGATAGATAGATAGATAGATAGATAGATAGATAGATAGACAGACTGATAGATAGACAGACAGACAGACAGACAGACTGATAGATAGATAGATAAATAGATAGATAGACTGACAGACAGACGGATAGACGGATAGACGGATAGACGGATAGATAGATGGATGGATGGATGGATAGATGGATGGATGGTTGGATTGAGACAGACAGACAGAGGGACAAATGGGACAAAAACAGTCATTGGACTAAGGTGCTCTGTGCCCCCCCCTGCTCACCCTTGCAGGCCTTCCTGTGTGAGATGGCCTTGGCCAGGTCCCGGTAGTAGCCCTCCTTGCAGTAGTGGCAGTGCCGCCCCGCAGTGTTGTGCCGGCAGTTGAGACAGACGCCGCCGCTCCGCCGGCCGGACAGCTTGTACAGCTCCATGTTGAAGCGGCAGCGGCGAGCGTGCAGGTTGCAGTTGCAGGCTGTAGGAGAGATTGAGGGGGGGCGGGGGGCCTGTTAGTGCAACGGCCTCACTATCGCTGAAAAGCTCTCTGGCTGAGAAACTGAGGCACCATACTTGTGAAGTAGCAGAGTGATGCAGGGCTGGCAACTCTCGTGCATCTGATGTAACACTCACGCTATCAGACTCTCACGCGCACGCAAGAAATCTTACGTCAAAGCTATATAATTCCATTATAAACCTAAAATTAGCTACATCAAAAGCATTGGGGTAGGTCACAAACCCTACAGACTATTTACAAGGTAGTAAAACTCTCACATACATGTAAATGCGTGTGCGTGTGTGAGTGCAGACTCGTCTCGGATTGAAAATCTCACGCCAGCCAGCTGACCGAATTTTGCCGACGTCGGTGACGTGACGCCAGGTGTGACGTAGCTATGAGGATGAACGTG